ATATTTTCAATGGGGAGCATGAAGTGAAAGCCAGTTCAGAAAGACAAGGGTCGTATTCCTAAATGTTTCTCATTCTGAGTGCCCATGAGGCTCTTTCTTCCTTCTTCCCTCCTTTCTTCTCCTACAAACATCATCATGTCAGTTGCCTGTCGGATATCTGCTATGGGCGGTTACACTGCAAGCTATCCAAGGACAGGAACATCACAGCATTTGGTGTGATATTTCTTACATGTGACATTTTAAAATGATGTTCACTGACCAACTACATGAGCTTGGAGGACCCTTTTCTTCTTGACTCCAAGAGAGTTTGTGGACTTAGAGAAAGTTGGATTACAATTCTGACTAAAGTGTAGCTTTTCTGAAGGAAACAGCGTTGAAGAATAACACAGAATCTCTGTCCTAAACAGTCTCATTGTCTAGTGGGTGAGACAAAGCCAACGTCCACAAAGCAGTGTTGAACAATGTAAGGCTTTATAAAATTGGGCCAGAAAGGGTGTGTTTTAAACTGTGAGTGCTATAAAAACTCAAAGATGAGGGAATTCATTGAGCACAGGCTGCATTGGAGCCTGGGCCTCCATAGGTAGAACTTGAGATGGAATTTGTAGGACTATGAGTGGTTTAGGAATGAGGTATATTGTCCAGGCTCCATCCTGGGGCTTGTAGGTGGTTAGGAAGAGGTCAGGGTTCACTCGAGAGCACATCTATGCTACTGCCCTCCTAGTAGCCCAAATGCCCAAACATGTAGGCAGGAGCAGGGGATGCATCTGGACTAGAATTTGTGCTTGGATAAGGTGAAGCCACCAGCTGGCTAGGGGTCAGAGCCCAGGGAAGTGTCATGCTTGTGAGAATATAAACTAGAACCAGGCCTCTGCATGGTATTGCTTTGCTGGGAGAAGCTGCCTCTTTTTCTCCTGGGATGATAAGCCTGGGGATCATGGCATACTGATGAGAGTAGTGGTTTGTATCCATAAACTCTGGCAGCCAGTCTCTTCTTTCCTTCTGTGCACAGGTGCTTGGTGCTTTCTTTATCCTATACCTTTGTGGGGGTATACAAACAGCCCTCTTCGATAGAATTTTTTTTTCCTACTAGCAGTCCTACTTTATCTGTCACCTGTTTTCAAGCAATATTTGCTGGAGCGCATTAATTTGACACTCCATATTCACTTCAACATATGGCTAAAGCACTGAGTGGACGTTTGGCTGTCAGAAGCATTGATAGACTCTATGGATGGGTGTCTGACTTCAGACGTTAAGGATCTTTCAGCTGCAGCTGCTGCAGTGGGAGCGTGAAGATGGGCAAATGTGTCTGTTAACTGCACTGTACAGCTGCAGCTTCCCCAATGGCCTTCACCTTGTATCGAGATGTTGCTTCCTCTTGAGACTTGGGGTGAGGAGAAATCTGACTAGAGCCTTTTGTCAAGTGTGTTAATTTGGGTCCTCTGAGAAACAAACACAGGGAAGAGATTAGTTGTGTGAAAGATTTCTTGGGGGGACTTTTTTGAGGGAAAATGGGGAGAGAGCTTTTGGATGCTGGGACAGTTAAACCTTGGTGCAGCTGCAGTGCCTGTGGAGGGAGGGAGAAGGTGCAGGAAGGCTAGGTAAGAAAACGTTTAGGTTATGGCACATTCTAAGAAAGGTTTAGCAAGGCTGATGGGGATCCTTAAGTCATGGTGACCCTTCAGAACAGCCCCACCTTCCTGCCATGGTACCCCTACTGAACTCAGTCATTGGCTGGCCTCAGTGAATGTGGTCATGGACTCCTGAGCACAGTAGTGAGACCATCAATCATCTGCAGTCCTTCAGAGTGGGAGATGTGTCTGAGAGATTCATTGCTATGGCTATTACATCTGGTCACCTCTGGTGAGAAGCAGCTTACTCCATTTACTCCAGCATGTGTCTTGTTGAAAGCTGGGACCAGAGCTGGTACAAAGGAGCAGGCAGGCCCATTTAGGTTTTGAAGCCTTATATGAATTTAACCACAGGGGCCCAGGGACAAGGCACTCATTATGACAAATAGTTGAGTTCCCTCCTTGGGAAAAACACAGTGGGCATTTCATATTTACTTGTTATTGTACTGAAAGCATATTGCAAAAATAAGTGGCTCACCTTCTGGGAATTTTGAACAGTATTAATATAGGTTATCTCTATCCAGGCCCCATGCAGATAGTGTCTTGTGCTTCCCTTATTTATATCCCACTTGAATAGAAAGCACAGGTCATAGAATCACTCATGGTACCTGCCAAATAGCTTAGAAAAGGAATCTTTCCTAGACAAAGGGTGTTGGCAAAGTGATGTTCTTCACAGGCCCCTAAACCACTTGCGGTGCAGAACATGTGTTTTACCTTCTCTTTCCTGTCTGGTTTTATTGTAATCGTTTGATACGGCACATGAAAGCCTGCCACTGTTCTATGGTGGATCAGACATTCATGGTGGTTATGTGTCCATCACTTATCTTCTCTCGCTAACAAAGGTTAGGACACAGTATTTCTCACTATGATGGAGGACTAGGCCAAATACTGAAGCTGGAAGGAGGTAAAAATATTCTTGAAATAAAATATGTTTTTATTCTCACCCATCATCCTCTTTAGTTTTCCACATTGTTGCCAAAGTGACAACACTTACATAAAAATGTTATTGTTTTACTCTCCTACCTAAAATATTTCAATAGTTCTACATTACCACTGAGTTAAAAATAAAAACTCTTTAGCATGACCAAGGATCTTCTTTATGACTGGGCCTCTGCCTCTGGTCTGCGGTCTAGAGTTCTCTACCTCTCTCTCTCTCTCTCTCTCTTTCTCTTCCTCCATTTATTCTCTTCTCACACCACTACAGACTCTGTAAATCTACCATGTTTCTTAAGTCCTTTTGTATTTATACATAATCTCCAGTAGGTTATTATCCCGGTGTTGTTTAACACATTAACACTACAATTTCAGTGACAACACAAGAGAAGTTAACTTTTCACTCACATAATAGTCCAATGAGGTGTTCCTGGTTGGCAGATGGCTTTCCCCCACCTGGTATCTCAGGGACGAAGGCTCCTTCAGTCTGGTGACTCTGTCTACTTATAGGGCCTTTGTTTCCTTCCCATCTCTCTGATAGATAGGGCAGGAGAAGAGGAAAACTCACCTACTTATTCAAAGCTATATTCCAAAAGTGACACATATTACATTTGCTTATATTCCAGTGGTGAGAACCCAGCCAGACCCAAGACAGTTAGCAAACACAATCTCTGCCTGAGCGTCCACTTTCCTGACAACTCTGCTACACATTGGTGAACAGAACTCAACGGGATCTTTTAGCTGTCTCTGCTGTTATGCATTGCCATCCACATGTGCAGCCTGGACCCCAACTTATTCCCTGAGTCAGCTTATTTCGACAAATCTTATATGACCTTTTAAAACTCATCTAAAGCTTTGCATCATTCAAAGGGTTTTGGAGTGTTTTGTCTTTATACTCATATAACACAGAGGACTTACCAGCTGTCATAGCACATGTCAAATTGTATTATAATTGTTTGCTTAAGGGTTTGCATTTTACAAACTTGACCTCCTATAGAACTGGTGCTGCATTTTTAAGTCTAGAAATGTCTTGTGCGAAATATGCACCCCCAAATTATTAAGTAATTAATATTCATAATTTTATTAATTACTTTATTACTTTATTAATTTATTTGTTAATTAGAAAATACTAATAATAGTAAAGTAATAAAAATAATTACTAATAAAATAAAGAAAGGCTGCTAGGTGACTGGATTCACAAGAGTGGTAAAACCTTAAACATTTGGTGTTTTAAAGAGGGGATTGTGGATTTATCCTAAAACACATACATCAGTCCAAATTTTAAATTGAGGAATGGATAAGCCTCTGAAGTTTCTTTGCTATTTAGTAACAAATCCAAAGTATTAGGAGCGTTTACAGTTACCAGATTACCATGAGCATCCTAACATGGACGTATGTACACTTAAAAGTCAAGAACTGTTACTTGGGTTCAACTCTTCACTGAAAGGAATGTTGTCTCTTTAGAGTGCATTTGCTACAGGTAGACAGAAACTTGATTCAAAGTTGTTTGAAAAAGAGGTGCCCGGGAGGCTCAGTTGTTAAGCATCTGCCTTTGGGTCAGGTCATGATCTCAGGGTCCCGCATATTGGGCTCCCTGCTCATTGGGGAACCTGTTTCTCCCTATCCCACTCCCCCTGCTTGTGTTCCCTCTCTCGCTGTCTCTCTCTCTGTCGAATAAATAAAGTCTTTTTTTTTTAAAGCTGTTTGAAAAATTAAAGAATGTATTGTATCACATAACAAGAAGTCTAGAAGTAGGGTACCTCCAGAATAGGTTGCTCCAGTGATTTAGTGAAGTCATCAGGACTTATGTTCTGTCTGTACCTTGGTCCTAAGATTCTCAGTATATTGACCATGCCCTGGGATGGGTCCCCTCAATGTCATAGGATATCTGCCAGCAAAAAAAAAAAAAAAAAAAAAAAAAAAAAAGGGGGGGGTGGGGGGGAACAAATCACCTCTGTCATGTCCCAAAGGAGAAAATGAATAACACTTCTTTCCCAACCATGGTATATAAGTGCCTCATTTAAGTTTGATGGCACTGTTTTAGATATGTGCTGATTTGTGGAGCAAAATCTCTCTGGGAAATTTGATCTCCTGGCTGATCAGATTACCCAGTATCTGTTAAAAAACAAAGGTTTTCTCGAAACATTTGGTTGGATAGAAGAAGTGGGTAGCTTTTCTTTCCAAAATTTGTGCCTCCATTGGAAAGGAAAAATAGGGGAATATGTGTTGGATATTTAAGCAATAGTGTCCACACCACAAATATCTTAATGTAATCTATTGAACTGGTATCTTTAGAAGAGTGAACAATTTTCTAAGGCAGGTAAGGACAAATACTTATCTCCTACTAATTCCACAAGTTCAGAATCATATACTTAAAAGCGTCTGATAGAACATTTTAGATTCAGCTCCTCCATTGTAATTGTTTATTCTTTATTCTAGGCCTCATAATGGGATTAATATTACGATATGCTACAGCACCAACAGATATTGAAAGTGGAACTGTGTATGACTGTGGAAAACTGGCCTTCAGTCCATCAACTCTGCTGATTAATATCACTGACCAAGTTTATGAATATAAATACAAGAGAGAAATAAGCCAGCATAACATCAATCCTCACCAAGGAAATGCTATACTTGAAAAGGTAAGCATTCCATCTGGTCATATATTTTTATTTAAATAATTGACCCATCATATGCAACATATTAACACACATGTATATGTCCTTTTTAAACACCACACTATTGGGCCAATTTAGTTGACTAAGGGGGTATACTTAATATAATTGTTTTGCAAATCACAAATACACTCAATAAAAAGATAGTAATTCTTCTCTTTCATGATACTTGTTTCAAGTTTGTTTTGTGGTTTTTTTTTGTTGTTGTTGTTTTGTTTTTTTTTTTTAAAGAGAGAGAGAAAGGGTGGGGAGGCAGAAGGAGGGAGAGAGAGAATCTTAAGTAAACTCCACACCCAGGACAGACTTGGGGCTCAATCTCAGATCCTGAGATCATAACCTGAGCCAAAATCAAGAGTTAGTCACTTAAACCAACTGAGTCACCTAAATGCCCCTACTTGTTTCAAGTTCGTACACATGTGTTCTAAATGTCATTGTATATATTGCCAGCTGGCTACTCAGATAAAATTTCCTTTAAATCAAAAGAAATAGAGAGGGGAGTGAAAAAATTTGCACCTATAAACCTTGATTTAGGATGACTGGCTTTTGGCTGCCAACACAAAACACTGGCCTCTTGGCTGTTTATAAATACACTGACACACAGTCAATCTCAAGAGATCTTCACCCCACCAGTTTAGTTGGGAAATCTTAGGTAGGAAAAAGAAAAATTGTGAAGTGACCCTTCTGTTATTTTATTTTTTAAAAGATTTTGTTTATTCATTTGAAACAGAGAGAGCACAAACAGGGGGAGAAGCAGAGGGAGAGGGAGAAGCAGACCCCCTGTTGAGTTGGGAACCTGACAAGGGGCTCAATCCTGGGACCTAGAGATCATGATCTGACCCAAAGGCAGACTATTAGCCATCTGAGGCACCCAGGTGCCCCCACAACCCCTCTTTTAAAAATGGTTTTACTTTTGTAAACTTGTGAACTGTTTCAATTATTGGAAGGAAGTTTCCTTCTGCTCTCAGGACTCTGGGTCAGAAAACAGACAAGATTACCTTTTTCTTTTTTTTTAAGATTTATTTATTGATTTTAGGGAGAGAGAAGGGAGCAGGGCAAAGGGAGAGAGAATCTTTTTTTTTTTTTTTAAGATTTTTATTTATTTATCAGAGAGAAAGAGAGTGAGAAGCCCAAACTGGAGCAGGAGGCAGAGGGAGAAGCAGGGTCCCTGCTGAGCAAGAGTCAATCCCAGGTCTCTGGGATCATGACCTAAACCCAAAGCAGATGCTTAACTGATTGAGCCACCCAGGCATCCTGAGGGAGAAAGTCTTAAGCTGACTCCATGCTGAGCACAAGCCTGCTGTTAGGGGTAAGGGAGAGCTGGATCTCAGATCTAGACTTGAGCCAAGACTTAAGTCTGTTGCTTAACTGACTGGGCCACCCAGGTGCCCCAAGATTATCTCTTATATTATGTTATGCGTTCTGGATCAGTCCTTGGAACAAGGAATAAGTGAATTTGTGTTTAACAATGCAAGTACATGCTAAGAACCAGGATCTTATGTGACTCATTCTGGAATATTTTGAGTCAGACCTGAGAGTTTCCTTGATAATAGGGAAGTTTGTTTTAGCACTTTCACTCATACAGATTTAGTTTTCCTTTAATATATAGTTATTTGTTTCCATTTTGAGAGTTTTGGGGTAAAAGAGAAGACACTTGGTCTGTCATTTTTCCTCATTCAAAGTAGATAATTTTTAATGGTTTTTTTTTCACATTATCATCCACTAGCACATTTCTAGATTAACTTCCTTCTAGCACTTGATGAGGGCTCAGGAAAGTCAAACTATAATATTAGCCTAAATGAGACTTAGAAAAGTGAATTGAAACATGCAAAAAACAAATTAAATAATGTATTTCTGAAATAAATAGCAACTTCTAGATCTTCTGCTGTTTTGGATGATTTCTTCCACATGATTCTTTCTGTTCATATGGATAATGGAAAATTATCTATCTTAAAATAAATAATTTTTAAATGACTTTGTTGGCAGCATAGGATTTTAATTAAAACATACTTTTCAGGGGCACCTGGGTGTCTCAGTTGTTAAGCGGCTGCCTTTGGCTTAGGTCATGATCCCAGGGTCCTGGGATTCAGCCCATCATCTGGCTCTCTGCTCGATGGGAAGCCTGCTTCTCCCTCTCCCACTCCCCCTGTTGTGTTCCCTCTCTTGTTGTGTCTCTTTCTGTCAAATAAATAAAATCTCTGGAAAAACAAAACAAAACATACTTTTCAGTTTTACCTCTGGTTAGCACCTGGACATAAATTATTTATTTAAAAAAAGGTATTTATTTACTTCCTCACTCTCTTACCCATTTTTATCTGCATTTCTAAAAAACATTATTTCACCAAACAGGTTGACCCCCTAAGATGCTGATAATTATCCTTGTTACTATAGCAATTTTTTTCAGCGGGATTGCTGGTAACTGATCAGAAATTTTATTATTGTATTATTGACATATTGATTCCTTTGCCAGTAGCCAGACTCCAGTGTTTGCTTTTGAAAAACTAGGGAAAGAGTTAAGAGAAAATGTCCAAGTTGCTGGGGTCTTCTTGGTTTTTTCATTCAGTAGATTATGAGTTCAATACATAAAAAGTTTAATTGACGTTGACTGGCTAAAGTATTTTCTAGATTAATGTCTAAATCATGTGACTCATTTGTCATTATTAACGCTTGTCCCCCCAGGCATCCACAGTTGGCAATAGGCGACTCAGTACCCAGAGTAAATCCTTCCCTCATTGCTGGTGGAGAAAGAGGCATCCACTGGTACACTTAACCATACTAGATGAGTTTAAGTGGAAAGGATCTTGTTTATTATAAGGGGCTAAAGTATATTTTAATTCACAATTTGTTTCTTATATGTTGATGTTGGTGGGGGGGGTGCCTAGTTAGTCTGCGAAAATTTAAAAAAAAACCATGATCTGCCTTTCTTACTGGGAATTCTGCACTACACTCAGCTGTTCATATCAATCAATTATTCAACCAATCTATGTCAGATGCAAAAGGATTCCAAAAAAGCATTTGTTCATTGGATGGCTTATAAGGAGGCAATACTGTGATATAGGAAAAAAAAAATTCAGGACCAGATAGATCTTTTTTATATCCTTAGTAAGTTCCTTGAACTCCAGCTTTCTTATTTATAAAGTGGAGGGATTAGAACTATTCTGTGGAGTTGTTTTAATATTTAAATGAGGTGATGTATCTAATGAATCTCCCACAAAACCCTTTACATTGCACTGCTATTACTGTTTCTGCTATTACTACCACTGCCACTACCACCACCACTGGTGCCATCACCACTGCACTACCTCCTAACACCAATGGTATCACTGCTGCTACAAGATAATGTTTAAGTGCTTAATAAATGCCAGGAATTAAGGAAATGTGTGGAGGTTTTCCCCATTCATTTAATATTTGTTTGGGAGAAAAAATCAATATATAATTTACACCTGTATATAATTCAGTTCTAAATTATAGCACATAGATTGTGAGGACTATAAAATACCATATGCCAAGCTTGTTTCAGTCATGCTCAATACATAGGGAAGTATAGAAAAGAAAAAAATATTTTCACTTAAAAATTTATGAAAACAATATTTTCCTATACATTATGAACAACTAATGGTCTCAAAACAACCTTCTGGGAAAATAAAACTAGGTTATATTGCTTTGTATTTATCTAGTTAATGCTTCCAATATCATCAGTTGTTCTGTGTACCCAAGACATGTGTAACTAGTTTTAGCTGAATGGGGCCTATATTCTGTTTCATGATGGCTTTACATTAATTTGTTATGTAATATCTAGGAACACCAAAATATCTGCTAAGTATTTCTGAATTTTATATTAATAGGAAGTTTAAAACTTGCTTTTGAAGAGCAGGTGATATAAGAACTTTCTCCATCACTCACTCATTCATTCATTCTTTCAACACAAATGAATTGAGTGAGTCCTATCAGCTTCATTTCTGAAGTAATTGTCTCAAAGATTTTAATAATGAATCAGGGGAAAACACAACAAATAAATAAAAGAGTAAATATACCACAAAGCTGTTATTAAGGGAGGGGGCCAAGTCCCTCAGGCACTCAGGAAGGACAATATTATTTATTATTAGGGTGATAGGAAAGATTTCAAAGAAAGAGAGTTGATTGACTCTGGCAGTGGTGATAGTGTATATAATGTGTGGAGGTGGGAGAGTCATTACAAACAAAGACAAAAACATGATATGGAAGTGGAAAAAAGGTGTAGAGATTATTCCAAGAAAGAAAAACAATTCCAGTTAGTTGAAGTATGGAAGACCAGTGAAACAGAGGGCTAGAAATAAGGGGAGAGCTTGATTACAGAAATGATTAAATGCCAGGTTGAATAATGCACTCTCTATTTGACAGTGTTGACCAAAACAAAGGGATAGTTGCTACACAGCCTGCTGTGTGTAGAGGGTAGGGAGTGAAAGCAAGCAGACAAATGAGGCCTAAGCTTGGATGGTAACCAAGGGGCACATGGAAGAGAAACAAGGAAGGAAGATGTTGTACAATTTGGATCTAGTGAGCATGAGAAGGGAGAATGGCTTACTCTGCTACCAGGTCTTGTTGGTTCATAGAGGTGGTAGGACAGAAATGGAGAAGTTAGAAGTTAGGGGAAGGAGCTGGTTAGGGGAAAATCATAATTAGTTTAAAATTGATGAATGAATAAATCAATCTAGTCTCATCACTAATTTATCTATTAATGATTTAACACATTATGTTTTTACAATATTGAGTTGGAGGATTCAGTAGGCCATTTGGCTGGAAAGGTCTTGCAGATCTAGTCCACTTCCAAAGAGTTGTCAGCACAGTTAAATTTATACTTCCTATGATTCATAAATCAGTTGACTGTAATGTGAAAAGTCAAAGGAAACTGCCCAGTGAAAATTTTGCCAAGTCTTCACTTCCTGTATGACAAGTGACGCTATCATTTGGTCAGGGAAGTTATTTTGGCG